TTTATGTTATTGTACCTTGTATTATATATTAATTAAGTTAATTATAAAACGCTTACTGTCTCAATTTCACAAAAAGACAGACGGAACAAACTAAGAAAAAAAAAACATTTATTTTCCGTTCAGGCAAATATTTGAAACGCGGTTAATTTTTTTTCTGTGAATTTTTGATACAGCATTAGATTTCCTAATTTATATTTTGCGATATAATATTTACCTATTTGTATACAGTCAGTGGCTCAATTATGCGTGTGTTAACGAAATTATGACATGTCAATGGCGTTTCAATTGCAGGTTTTCTGATACAGATCGTGTTGTTAGATACAAAACAACAAGCACATCGATTACCTATATGATTACCTATCTTTCAGTGTTTTATTTTATACGTAGAAATTAATTTTATTATAATTTAACTTATTTAATCACTTGACATTGGCAGAATTGTGCCAAACGCGCAGATAAGACATTAATAAAAGAAGATCAAACACATCTGTCACCGATAATTGAAAAAAAAAAGCCATTGCTCTAATAATATTGAGGACAAATGCAATATATTGAGAGAACATTGAGACGTCATTATTATGTTAAGATATGCACAATTTAGCTCCTGAACTTCATCTTTACGAAACTAAAACAGTCTCATTGCAATTGTAAAAAACGAATTATAAGTGTATAAAGCATTTCATAATTCTATAATACTATACGTATATGTATTATATAAGAATGTTGATGTCAGTGTGTGTGTGTAAAAAACAGTGCCTTGTGATATGTATTACTTCCAGTGTGTATCAGCCCTTACTTATAGTTTCGCAGCTGAAATATTTAATTGATAAGTTTGTATTAAATATTTTAATCTCAACGAAGCATAAGGTTATATTTGCAAATAAAAGGCAATACCTGTAAAGGACAATATTGTATTGAAATATTTTTTTTTTGCTTAAAATATTTGGTGCTATTAAGTTTGTGTGTATTCAAACTGATAAATTCCGTTTTCTTTTCTGTATAATTATTCTGTTAATAATGCTGTTTATATACTATATACTATTTGATAAATGTAAAAGCATGTATTTATGTGTATACACACTTAGTGGATCTACTGTGTAATGTCCATTTTAGATAGGAACAACTATGTTATGTATTATTTGCATATAGTCTACGCTTTTATTTTTGTAAATTATCCCCAATTAACGTATGCTAGTTGAGCTTTAATAAAAATATTTTATTACATGTTGATTATGCGTTTCATTTCATATTATTATCAAAACAAAATAAATACATATAACAATGGTAAACATACCGAATTAGTAGTTCCATCGGCCACTTGCTAATTTTATCACTCAACTGTTAAGTATATCGGCATTTTTATCATTATTTGCATTTAAAATTATTTTATTGATTATATAAATCAATACTACGTATTAAATAAGTCATTAACTTGTTACAATATTACTTTTATATAAATCCATATACCTATAGTGTGATATATGTATATGGATTTATATTATTCTATTTGCCCTTGAATGAGAGTTCGGTATATTTCCAAATTCATTTCTGTGAACATATTCAAAAATTGTAGAAAAATGCGTTTCTTTGCAGTTGTGTTAGCATTTAGAAAATTGACGAAATTTCGTATTCGAAGATATAGAATAAGCCTCCAGGTGTTATGTTAATTCGCACGGATAACGTGATTACTTAGACCAATCGCGAGTGTTATATGGTATTATTTTCGATGCGTTCGAAAACGTTCTAAATAAGAATTTGGAATTGAGAGAGAATTTATCTTTTTAAGTCCCCTTCTCTACCATGGGTAGAGAAGGGGACTCCCTTTGCCTTTTGATTTATATGTTGGACAGCGATCAGATCAATCAGGATCATGTTGAGTCATCAAATGGAATTAGTTTTAGTTTTTTTTTTTAAATTCGTTCGTATAATGTTATGATTTAAATATATTGGATAATCAATAATAATACAAAACCAGTAGTAAAAAATTTATTGTAAATAAAAATATATTGTACCCGATTTAAAGCAAAATATAATTTATTCAAAATATTGAACATATTTACACACTTTATATATATTTACATTGTTACACTACGGGTCAAAAGTACTTATAATCACAATAATTAATGAGAGTTGTCGGTAACATGTTTACCTACTGTATATCCACGTAAAATAATGCGGGCATGAAAAACTATTATGCATTTTGTCTATTGATACGTAGGTAGTATTAATTTATATGTCTAAAGATAAAAAGTTTGGAGTAAATAAATAATTGTTATTATTACTTCGCAATGCATGTTTAATTGCCGTTTATTTTAACATGGTATTTATTAAGGTTGCTAAGAAAACAGAATAAGACCATATTTTTTTATTCTTTGGCCTATAATATACGATATCGCATTTCTTACCTATAAATTTCAGTATGTTGGATTTGAAATAGAAGTAATACAAGGTACCAAGGTACTATTAACATAGTAATTTACAGATAAGCTCGTATCGAAAGTATAGAAGATCTTATTTTTTTAATTATTTACCTATTGCTTTCAGCCAGACTTTAATTTCAACAACTGAAGAAAATACGTCTGTAAAACGAGAAGTCAAAATCTGTTTCCACAATTTATATAGGTACGTTATTAAATAAATAGGATCTCCTAAAATCCTACTAGAAAATTCAAATTATGGACAGAATTATTTTTTTTATTATACACCACAATAATCACATAGAGTATACATATAAAAACTCCTTTGTGTGTAGTTTTCGAAATGAGAATGAATATCACAGAATTTGATAAAATCACTGCAAATTAATGTGTACACTCACAAGTACCTACCTAGGTTTAATAGGAGGAGTAATATCTATAAATAAAACTTATACAAAACTAATATCACATTTCACAATTAAAAACAATATTATGCTTACACAATCTTCATATATATTACAATTAGATATGTTAAAACGGCTACTACAGAACTTGACTAGATTAAACATGTGATGTTTTTGGTAAAGTGAAATTGTATAAAATAAAGTTAGTATAATACCTATTTGTCAATTAATTTCACATCTTTGATCATTGTATGTAGGTCATTAAAGTTAAATTAATGAAATGTCAGTATACATATCTATACAGAATGAATGAAAAGTACTGTTCTTTATCGTATGGTGTGAACAAGATAGGTTCACAGTCTTCTCTTTCTAACAGTCAAAAGAGGGCGCACAAAGCAACAACTAATATCACATTGATTAATAATAATTATAATTAAAAAAAAAGAAAAACCATATCAAATTTTTAAATAAGATTTATATATATGTCAACGATATTACAATAAAAAGGTTAGATAAGTCATGTCAGTACGAATACGATGTTAAAAAGTAACCCAGCATATACCTATACACGCACATGGCACGATACTCTCCAAATATTCATAGACTATAATTGAACATGTTACAAATCAGACGTATAGTGATTTAATGCATGTTTAATGCCTGCTTTTCAAATTAATCAACAGTTCAAATTAAAAATGTTGATGTCTAACATTATTGTTTTTCCTCGTCATTAGTGTATATTTTATTTGTTCGTGTATTGTCACAATGAAGCTTAATTTCAAGCGATAAAAAAACCTGACACTGATACTAATATGTATAAATAACACGAGGGCTTCGATTGAAATCGGAATCGGACTATTATTTTTGCTCCGGAGTTAGGTTTCGATGTTCCGAATTCAAATCCTGGAGTTCCGGAGTTTGTAAGATTGATTAAGTGAGCTTAGGCACTAAAGTCGAATTGTCAGTTGTTTCTTACATCTTTGACAGATCTTTTTCACAACTTATAACCAGAGTACTTACTCGTTCTTTTTATGACACATTATTTATTTTTCTGATTAAAACGCAAATCAATTATAGTACGTTATGATGGTTACGCACCATAATACGCACGTATATTGTACGACGTTTTTTGTCACATTTGCGAGGAAACAGAAAAAAAAGCATTAAATAAACTCAATCTGTGAATGTACTCTGTTGCTTTCCCGCCATTTTAATAGCCCGCTAGCGCTGCCTACTGACTGGCGCCGCGCGGCGATTAGTTCGAAATTTGAATAGCAACAGCGCGCGAAATGGCAAATAATACTGTTATGGAATTTGTATGGACTATAACTTAACTATTTGCTTTGGTAACACACGCGTTTTTTATGACCTTTTTTACATATTTAAAACCGGTGGAATTACATCAGCTTTACGAGCAAAGGTGTTAAAAAAAATGTATACTTACGAATGTGACTTCTTGGTCTTTAGACAGTTTTGCATAACACAGGATGGTATTTTTAAAATTACTATGGTTCATAAACGTACACAATCAACGCTTTCTCCAGACTGTGCTCAGGTATGCTAATTAGCATAGTTTTAAGATAACACTTTTTGAATTCAAGTAACCTATCTACTCTTTTTATTGTAATATCAATGTAGATGATAGATAATTTTTCATCGTATATTTACGGCGTGAAGATACAGATGACAGATCTGTCTCTCATCGACTGGCCTGTAATATTGGTCATTGATGGTGAAAAGGGAGTAAGAGGTCCACAAATATGCACGTAGGTAGGTACGTTCCCTTTGGTGATTTCATTTATAATTACTATGACTAAATAAATATATGACGTAATTCATTGAAACTTATGATTTTCCACGATGCAACCCATTGATATTTATGATTACTATGACATTTCCCATTGAAATTTATGGTAACTATGACGTAAAAAGTATGATGCGATTCCTATTTTAGGCAAACCGATACCACAAACAAGAAACTGGTCTGTACACATTTAACTTATCCATACACTCGACCATACAAAACAGATACTTAATTTAGAATTTATCTATTAACTATTTGATACAATTCACTATAGACTGTATTTACATTTAATTTAGCTAACTTTGGCTTAGTGCACCCCTGTTTCCATTTTATTCGTTTGCTTACTTATGCGTCTACAATACAACTTCAGTGGTCCTAGGTGGGAGCCTCTTCTATTTGGTCTAGAACATTTTTGTTTATTCTAGACGTGTTAAGGAGAAACGCTAAGTCATCTGATATTTTATGTAACATTCTATCCGCGTCCGGCGAGTCATACGCTTTGTTCCATTCCCGATTCACTTGTTCTATATCAGATTTCGGTTTAGGATCTTCTATCACTTCGGGCAAGGACGTGCTGGAGGAGAAGTCTCTTGGGGTCTTTTTGAGACAACTCTTTATAGGTGGTGATGGGATTTTAGAGATATCAGGATTGGATTGTACGCATATCGAGCAGTCTTTTGGCGGATGGAATGTGGGGTGGTAAGGTTGGAAGTTGATTGGGCAGGCGAGCGGAGGGGGACAGGATAGCGGCGGATGAGTGAGGGGGACGCGCTCGGCAGCGCGGGGAATGAGGTCGCATACTGCTTGGGTGGTGGTCACACAACGAGACTCGTATTGGGGACTGAGTGTGCCATCTTTGTATTCTACGCAGCGTACTATGTCTGCACGACTGTCGGGTGTTGATTGTCGCCTGGAAATAATAAATAATATTATTAAACACAATTTGAGTACTGAAAGTGCGATATTGCACCTGTGAGCTGCCAATAGAACAGTGAGCGTCATAGTCATAGAAGCGCCCAAGATGATAAAAAAGATCTGCCGACTAATAGCAAAACTCAGTAGAAGCAGTTAAATCATTTAAACATACCTAACACGGCTTCAATAAAATTATAATAGTTTAGAAAACAAAAACAATCATTTTGATATTATTTTGGAAATAAACGATTACCTAACATTGGTTAAGATTAAAGGTTTTTAAGTTATAAAAACCTTTAGTCACCTATGATCATCTTGGCTGCTTCGATTACGCTAACTAAGCGTGGCTTGAATTATATTTTGCCCATTTTTGATGTATGTAAGGTAGGTAGCGTCAGAGGTATACCTGTGTATCCTTGAAGGGCTCTCCAAGCCTGGTGCTCTCCAGTATGATGCTATAGGGGAGACGGGTGATGAGGATGATTCTAATCCACCAACACCTCCGCGGCTCTCTACCTCACCCCCTTGTTTAATGTACACTATAAGAAAAAATTCAGATTGGTTTATTTGCATAAATATTTTATTTGCGTAAACACATAGGTGTTTTATAAACTAATATTCTTTTTTTAATCAGAAACGCAAGCAAAATTTAACCAGAAATGCAAGCATTAGAAAAATTAAGCGATTAAGTAGGTACCATATGTCAAATTGGATATTTCCAACGATAACTTTTAATATCTGTACTTTGTTGTATTTTAACTTTTGACTTACAACAAAACCAAAATACACGGTCAATCCTAGTTTGGATTGGAAGTTAGACTTATAACCATTAACAATATTAGAGTTTGTCAAAAAAATGCTCTTATGTAATTTGAATTTATCTTCTTGGTATCTTAATATTGTCAATCCAGCAGTCTATAAAAACAGCTTCGAACTTGACGTGGAGCGAATAAAATCTACTTCAGCTTTCAGTAAAGCTGTATGCTATGACAGCGCAGGGCTAAACGCCGAGTTCGAGGCTGTCTCTAACAGAATACCACATTAGCTAATTGAAAATTTTGAATAACATAATAATTATAATATTCACGGCTGAGTGAGGTGTCTCCGGCGGGTGAGTCCTGCCAGTCTCGTGAGGCGAGTGAGAGCGCACGTCGCGCGGCTCGCACGCACTCCTCGTCACGTAACACGTAACACAACAACATCGCCACACCCTGACCAAGACAAATACAATTCTATAATACTAGCTCTGCCCGTCTGGTTTACACCATGACTTGACAGAAAATTTATCTCTAGAAAGGTTTTAGTGGGATAAAAAGTGACTTATATACTCAGGTTTGAATTATCTATAAACCAAACATCAAATCATACGTCAAAAGTTTTATCAGTTTGCATTCCGCTTTTTCAAAATAGCGAGATATTGTGGCTACACCATCAGTAAGACAGTAACAAGACTTCATCAGTTAATGGAAAAGGAGTTTTACTACCCGACAACAAGCAAGCCTACGACCAGATCAGTGTTGCCAAAATATGATAAACGGATGCCGTAAATCTTTAATTGTAAAATATGCTTGATCTCGCTTCTAACTAAGGTGCAAGCAGCAGTCACATTGTTTTGAAAAGATACTTACGTTTGCTATTGCAGCAACAGAGAGTGCAGCCACTTGCGGCACTTTCCTCTCCCCAGGCTGTGCGTAGATCACACCCGCTGCTTGCGCACCCGACGTCGTCACCAATAATATTAATGTGTGCCGGATAACTCGGCACCTGCAAATTTTGAAACTTCAGCATATATAAACTGGAATTAATTAGTTTTACTAGTTAAAAGTTTTGGTTAGTATTTTTAAACTCTGGACAATTGCTCAGCTTGCGCGATCGGTCGATTGCGTGGAGGCTTCTGCATGTACTTTCCACGAAGAGCATTTCTTCGGAATACTTTAGTGGGTAGACCTCTGCTGTTGACTTTCCCCTTCCATATGTGCGTTTTCCGAGCGAGTACTGCATATCAAGTGCATGTATCGCGTTTAAGAATTACGATAGTAACATTTTTGAAAGACCTAATTTATAATAACATTGTCGTATTATTTCATGTCTGATATATATTGCAAAAAAATTATGAGCACTACAACACTACTTTGAAATGTACTACTTGCACACTAAAATTTGGCCCACAACATGTCCAAGGTTGCCCATATCTGGCCTAGAATAATGCGTACCTGTCTCTTAAATAGTTCCGTCTCTCGGCGGGTACTTTGTGTGTGATGGTCCGGAGCCTGGCGGCGGCGCAGGTGGCCAGCGCCAGGCACAGGGCCGCCAGCAGGGCGCACCCCGCCGCGCACACCGCCTGCGCCGCCGCGCCCACCTGCAGCGGCGCCCCGCCCCACAGCCGCGCCGTCAGCCAAGACAACGTGCTCACTCCTGCAGCAAATAGCATAGTTAGGTTATTTTGTGCTAAAAAAACTTGTCAAAAAAAATAACGCTAAAATATAATGGACGAAGAGTCAAAGTAAGATCACAGAAAAGATGGATAGACTTTGTGAAGGGTAAAGTAAGTAAACGATTAGATGACGGCTGATAAATAAGAATGAAAGACGACATACTGCGCCGACCAAAATTAATTTATGATCAGCGGTTCTACCGCGTAACTGTAGATCAACCGTGATAATTATGAGCTGCGTAAACCGACTTGAAATATAGAAATCATAGACATAATACAGAAACCAGACAAATTTATATGTAGACACAGGTTAAATTGTAGAAGAGCATTAAGGAACAAATTAATATTGAATAATCAGGCTGACAGATTTCGGGCTTCAGTCACGCACTAGAGTAGCAGGACAGGAATATGATGATGTTGCCGAAATAGACTATTCTATTTCCTAATTAGTATTTCAGTTAGTATGGAAGTTATTAAAACGGTACCAGCTAATATTCCGACAGAAGGTCCTCTTTGCGCTCTTCCCGCCAGTTCTGCTTGTAAGAGCAGTGGCTGCGCACACAATGCCGCGCATCCTGCACACCAACAAGCGGCGCAAACCCAACCCAATGATCCTGGACACGCTTCTTCCTATAGAATTAACATCATAGTATGATATTATTATCAAAAAATGTTTGCATTCATGTAAGTGCTAATGCTATATTAATATTTTTAAGAGCATTTTAGCAATTCTGTTGTACAAAATATATTTACTAAATTTAGATATATTTATTTTATAATCTTTTCAAACAGCGTTTTCTATTATATAAATAACAGAGACAACAGGCATAAATTTATTTTATAAACTATAATAATTTTAATTAGACACTGCATAATAACGTTACATTTTTTTAGAGTGAACAGCATTATCATCCTGTAGTACTTAAAAAAAGTAATACTTGAATACAAGTAAAGGTCACTGGTAGCTCAATTGGAATACCAGACGCCAGACTAGTGAAAGATCGCGATCAGAAATCCGTCTGGAAGTACCAGAGGTCGTTGAATGTTTGTTTAATATCCATAAACAAATTGAGTAAACAAGGAACTGTAATGTTTTCTTTACACGGTTACCTGTCTGGTGTCACATTCCAGCAGTACTAACATGGCAGCGGAATGCGTGCCGGCGGTGGCAGCCTTAAGTAGTACTGGCAGACGAGCCTTCCTGCCCGGCACCAAGCTGAGGAGTTGCAGAGCAGCCGCGGCCAGGCACATCGCACCGCTGAGGCTAACAGTAATTTTTACTACCCCACGGAGATCCTTCTCTACATCTGTCTGAAAAATTGGATTAAAATATGAAATATGAATATCCAGATTTTTTCAATATAAAGAATCGGGGTCGTTGCATATCTCATGGAAGATGTGTGTATCGCCTGCGTGGTTATTTTAGTGGGATAAAAAGTAGCTTATGTCAATCCAGGATGAAAGTTATATCAAATTTCATCAAAATCCATTCAGTCAGTAGTATTGCGTGTACAAGTAACACATTCACATATTTTCTCATTTATAATGCGTATTAGTAGGATGATATTCAATCGAAATCTTTGTTTATAAGATAGGATTCACATCTTTTTTAAACAATTGGATAGAATAAGTTTACCACATATATATACGAAATAATCAACTATTCAATCGTATCATGCCGTGATGTACCTTGAATTTTAGACCATATCAGGTTTAGATATACTAGAGAAAAATTATTTTTGTGTCCCAAAAATCTTATAGAATTTTTCAAAGAGGTTTAAGTAATAAGTGATAATACTGACCAGAGTTGACCTAGCGATGGTGAACAGAGCATATGTACCAAGTCCCCGGCACCGGCAGGCTACGTGGGTAGATTCTGGCACGCGGACTTCACATGCCTTGGTGCTCCAAGCTCGAGGCTCCTCCTCCGTGCGTAAGCCACAAGCCAGCTTAGAAGCTGCAACATAAACATAAGCTATTATAATATCCACATTCATCATGATTCTCTATCCTCAGTAGCGGTACAATTATAAGAACACGTTTGCGTTTGTCTAGAAATTGTACATACATCGTTATATGAGTTAACATGATGAAAAGACAACACAGCTTCTTACAAATACATACAAAGATCTTAAGTGTCTTATTTCCTTATTTTTTTTACATGGTTTAATTAAAATTCGTGTTTTAAACGCCTGTGTTGCAAACTTCTATTAATACATGCACAAAAATATTGTCTTCCAATTGAAAATTCGTTAATTATCTTGATTGTCTTGTTATGTTACTGTTTTATCCTCATTTTTAGTTATAAGCGCGGTTCGTTGATTGTGTACGGAAAACAACAAAAGTTTACAACACAGTCGCAAATATATTGCCTGTGTTGCAAACTTCTCCTGCTACCCGCACAATTACTCTCTTCTATTCAGACTGAATGTTTCTTCTTAGAATCTTCTTTAATTTGCAGACTGCATACGAAGAACAACAAAAGTTTACAACACAGTCGCAAATATATTGCCTGTGTTGCAAACTTCTACTGCTACCCGCACAATTACTGTATTCTGTTCAGACTGAATATTTCCTGTTAAAATCCTCATAAACTTGCAGTTTTCAGATTGCAGGCTATGTACGGAGAACAACAAAAGTTAATAACACAGCCGCACATATATTGCCTGTGTTGCAAACTTCTATTAATACATGCACAAAAATATTGTCTTCCAATTGAAAATTCGTTAATTATCTTGATTGTCTTGTTATGTTACTGTTTTATCCTCATTTTTAGTTAAAAGCGCGGTTCGTTGATTGTGTACGGAAAACAACAAAAGTTTACAACACAGTCGCAAATATATTGCCTGTGTTGCAAACTTCTCTTGCTACCCGCACAATTACTGTCTTCTATTCAGACTGAATGTTTCTTCTTAGAATCTTCTTTAACTTGCAATTTGTAGACTGCATACGAAGAACAACAAAAGTTTACAACACAGTCGCAAATATATTGCCTGTGTTGCAAACTTCTCTTGCTACCCGCACAATTACACTCTTCTATTCAGACTGAATGTTTCTTCTTAGAATCTTCTTTAACTTGCAATTTGCAGACTGTATACGAAGAACAACAAAAGTTTACAACACAGTCGCAAATATATTGCCTGTGTTGCAAACTTCTTTTGCTACCCGCACAATTACTCTCTTCTATTCAGACTGAATGTTTCTTCTTAGAATCTTCTTTAACTTGCAATTTGCAGACTGCATACGAAGAACAACAAAAGTTTACAACACAGTCGCAAATATATTGCCTGTGTTGCAAACTTCTCTTGCTACCCGCACAATTACTCTCTTCTATTCAGACTGAATGTTTCTTCTTAGAATCTTCTTAAACTTGCAATTTGCAGACTGTGTATGGAGAACAACAAAAGTTTACAACACAGTCGCAAATATATTGCCTGTGTTGCAAACTTCTATTACTACCGGCACAAAAATATTTTCGTCCGATTGAAGATTCGTGAATTATCTTGACTGTCTTGCTAAGTTACTTTTTTTTCTTTTCAGATTTAGTTAAACTCGCAGTTCGTTGATTGTGTACGGAAAACAACAAAAGTTTACAACACAGTCGCAAATATATTGCCTGTGTTGCAAACTTCTCTTGCTACCCGCACAATTACACTCTTCTATTCAGACTGAATGTTTCTTCTTAGAATCTTCTTTAACTTGCAATTTGCAGACTGTATACGAAGAACAACAAAAGTTTACAACACAGTCGCAAATATATTGCCTGTGTTGCAAACTTCTTTTGCTACCCGCACAATTACTCTCTTCTATTCAGACTGAATGTTTCTTCTTAGAATCTTCTTTAACTTGCAATTTGCAGACTGCATACGAAGAACAACAAAAGTTTACAACACAGTCGCAAATATATTGCCTGTGTTGCAAACTTCTCTTGCTACCCGCACAATTACTCTCTTCTATTCAGACTGAATGTTTCTTCTTAGAATCTTCTTTAACTTGCAGTTTGTAGTCTGCATACGAAGAACAACAAAAGTTTACAACACAGTCGCAAATATATTGCTTGTGTTGCAAACTTCTCTTGCTACCCGCACAATTACTCTCTTCTATTCAGACTGAATGTTTCTTCTTAGAATCTTCTTTAACTTGCAATTTGTAGTCTGCATACGAAGAACAACAAAAGTTTACAACACAGTCGCAAATATATTGCCTGTGTTGCAAACTTCTCTTGCTACCCGCACAATTACATACTGTCTCTTGTTCAAATTGAAAATTTCCTGTTAAAATCCTCATAAACTTACAGTTTGCAGATTGCAGGCTGTGTACGGAGAATAAAAAAGTTTACAACACAATCGCAAATATATTGCCTGTGTTGTAAACTGCTCCTGCTTCCCTCACAATTACTGTATTCTGTTCAGACTGAATGATTCTTCTTAAACTTGCAATTTGCAGACTGTGTATGGAGAACAACAAAAGTTTACAACACAGTCGCAAATATATTGCCTGTGTTGCAAACTTCTGTTACTACCGGCACAAAAATATTTTCGTCCGATTGAAGATTCGTGAATTATCTTGACTGTCTTGCTAAGTTACTTTTTTTCTTTTCAGATTTAGTTAAACTCGCAGTTCGTTGATTGTGTACGGAAAACAACAAAAGTTTACAACACAGTCGCAAATATATTGCCTGTGTTGCAAACTTCTACTGCTACCCGTACATAATATTGTCTTCTATCTGAACGATTGATCACGTTGATTTTCTTGTGATGTTTTCAATCCGTTTCGAAGTACGTTGGCAGTGTACGGAGAACAACAAAAGTTTTCAACAGAGTCGCAAAATTATTGCGATTGCTGTAAACTTCTGCCGTTACCCAAACATAGAGGCAATTGAAAAATGTACATAGAATAACAAATATAATAAATAATCATAAAATTAAAATACAACTCTTTAACATATCTCGGCATTCGCAAATTATACGATAACAGGGATGTAAACTTTTTGAATACATACGACAGGTTAGAACATAAATGAACACAACTTTCAAGAACGATTGATATTTCAATAGTTGACTATGAAATGAACATTAAATATAAAGCATATAAAATGACGTCATAGCCTAGCAAATCATAAGCGTCATATGAGAATTTAAAGGACAGAAAGCGCCCCGCTTCAATCCCCACCACATTATCTAAAAACACAATTCCATGTATAAGTAAAAAATAAATCATATAGTTACGGTCAGTTGCACAAACGTCTATTAACGTCTAATGACGTGTTTAATCTCTAATGAATGTCAAATTAGTATGGGTAATGTCGGTTTAAACTAATGAAATGAAACTTTAATGGACGTTTGTGCAATTGGCTGTTTGTCTTCTATCTATCGTTTATCTCTTATAGTCGTGGGTGATTTTCACGTGACACTCATATAACACTAGAAGATAGTAGACATTTGGTTGGTTAGTTAGTTAGTTCGTCTATAATGGACTCTTAAATTGTTGACCCAATGATGAACAAATTTTAGTGAGGAAGTATTTTAAATAAATTAGTCGAAGTAGTTTGAAGTAAAATCGAAGTAGATGTCGCTATGTACTTTGAAACATTTGTAGTTTTCAACCAAATTACGTTTTGATATTTGAAAAGATAATCAAATTTTGTAGATTAAAAAAACATCATTATTTATTTTTACTATCCCGTGTTTCTTTTTAAATTTAAATTTCTAGTTACGTGTAAGCGTTTTATTACAGAACGAAAATTACTCATTTTGGTCTGAAATACATATTGCCATTTGCTTATATTAACTTTAGTAGTTTATTTTATTCTAAATACTCACCCACTGCACTATAGTTCTTGACGTGACTGAATAGTAGTGTGACTGTGTGTTGCAGACTTCTGTCGACACCTGCACCGCTCGCAGACAGCTGGACTTGTTGCGACGCAAACACATATTCAGTCTCGCGGCCGTTCCTGAAAGGAGACGGGCTACAACCACCGTTGTAGGAGAAAAAAATGAAAATAAATAAAATAATAAACAAACAGTCATACGGTAACCAATCAGAAATAATATATAAATCATTGAAAAATATAGAATTAAAATTAAATCAGAATTAAAAATGTCAAATAAGTACTATTGTTAGATAAAACGAAAATGTTTTTAAAATGCTAGTAAAATGACTTTGAAGTCTTATGTGTCTAGGGTTTGTTAATTTATATATTTGTTGTCACATTACAACCTATTGACAATTATTTAGGCTGACTTTAATACATAAAATAAGTAGGTACTTTCGATACTATTTTTTTTATTTGCATATTTTTAGTAAAATTTTATTCTGCTATTATTTTACTAGCATAATACAACAATAAAATATATGATTACCTAAACTCTATAGACCTTCTCAGGGAAGGAAGTCTCGCAGCCAAATTATGATAAAGAACTGTCACCACAGTGGCATTCCCAGTTCGCCCTACTAGTTCGACGCCCACAGAGGAGAGAAGCCACTGTGGTGTAGCAGTTGGCCATTCAGGAATACTGGGCAGGTCGAAGTGGGCAGCGTTGTCGTCTAGTACCGGCTTCGTCTTCACAGTGATCTCTTGGAGGCGTATATCCTCGTTCGATCTCATACCGGCGGTGTCCACTATAGCGTTTTGCAGTTCGTAGACTTTCTGTATATCATGTGAGTTATAATATAGACTAAGATTGTTTTTTAATGTAATAAATCATAATTAAAACAACAATATAAAACAATGCAAACCTCTTCATCCAAAAATGCATCGGGATGCTTCAGTAGTGTGTCGTAAATCTTTAGTAGGTGCTCAACACTATCAAATCTGTCTTTGGGTTTCCCGACAGGAGATAAAAGGTACTGCAGCATTTTCCGAGAGTGGTGGAGAGGTAGAGTTCCCTCACCAGGGTGAATGGGCAAAGACCGGAGTATAGATCCATAGTGTTTGGCCACAAACGATATGTTTGTCCAAGAGTAACCATAAGAGATACGAGTAAACTGAAAGCAAGGACAATTCGTAAAAATATTTTAAGTCTTTCTCATAAACAAAACTTCGCAATAAGAAATTTGTCAAATAGCTCCCATACTTGTTCATAAATATCTTTCAGTGAGTCTGCTATACATCCAGAGAAATCAGGCAGCTTCCATTTCACTTCATGTTGGACGGTTTTCGGCTCACAAAATCTGGAAGCACGAGATTATTGTAAAGAAGAGAGAATAAATATAAACAGTTCCTGGGAGTTAAGGTTCTACCTCGTCGTTTCACCGGTATGTCCAGGCGGGCAAGAAGAAGACGCATGAGCGCCTGGCGCCGTTCTTGGCCAGCGAAGACCGTGAGAAGCTCCGGGTTCACATGAATCATCAGACGGACCTAGGGCCCACATTGATACGCTTTGCGCGTTTGTCCCGGCCACTGACGAAACTTGACATCGAAACTCAGCAGATTTCTAAAACAAATAGATTGATAAACCGAGGGATCATCCATGATATTATTTCTTTAAAAAATTATTATAATACTTACTTGGACGTTGAAGAGTTTCAGAACACTTCCTGCTGGATATAAGTCTTCCCAAACTTCTCGACCTGGAGCCAACTTCAGGAGGTTCTTTTCTCGTGTCCAACTAAACCCTAGTACACCATGAGCCCTTCCCGCGCCAGCTAAGCATGTAATGCTTACGTTATCTCCCTAAAATTATGATTTGTTAATATAACTTATCCAAAGTGGTTAGAAGAATATCAGAAAAAGGAATTTTTCCACCTTATTCACAGTGAGAGTAGAAGGAACGAGACGTATATCAGGTGGTCTCAAAATCTCCAGTCTTAAAGCCCTGCATCTTCTTCGGCCTACGTCGTCAGCTGAGCAGGACCACTTCCCACTGTCGGGACGCTGAGCTTCGGATACTCCCAGTACAGACATGCGGCGACCAAGTGCATCTTCTGCTACGGTTCGTGTCCATATGTCTCTGCAATTTTTATTTTTTTTTAAAATAAGAAAAGTAATACAGGTACAAAATATAATGCCTGTATAATATTAAAAAGTTACAATAACGATCTCATATCGCAAAAGATTGAAGACAAATGGAGTGTGGTTTTGGGTGTGGTCGTTACTTTTGATTCCTGTTAGACATCAAGTCTGCGCATGACCGTCAAAGGTATCAAATGCGCATAAGTAAATCTAAACCTGCCAGATGATACGCCATTTTGAAAACAGCAATGTGATGGCTTTCAAAATGGCTGCTTAATTTAAAGATGAGAAATGTAATACAGATACAAAATATAATGCCTGTATAATATTAAAAAGTTACAATAACGATCTCATATCATAAAAGATTGAAGACAAATGGAGTGTGATTTTGGGTGTGGTCGTTACTTTTGATTCCTGTTAGCCATCAAGTCTGCGCATGACCGTCAAAGGGATCAAATGCGCATAAGTAAATCTAAACCTGCCAGATGATACGCCATTTTGAAAACAGCAATGTGATGGCTTTCAAAATGGCTGCTTAATTTAAAGATGAGATTTTTAACTAGATGTCATTACATTTAAAATACAGCACAAAAATGTGAAGATAGGAGTTAATGATATTGGCATGTTCTTTTGTCTCTTCTTAGTCTGAATCAGAATCTAGATCTCTATAGCAATTAGAAGGTGTGTTACCGAATTAAAAGCGCAGCTATATGGCGCATGTGCGCTGTTACTATGAAGTGGCGTCACTGCCCAGCCAATACCATAATCAATAATGCGATATATTATTATAGATAGGTAGGTACAATCGACAGCAAGTCTAGTGACTACAACGAAACAAATTTCCCATTTAATTTTAAGCCTTAATCTGTCACTACTTAAGTTCATAAATTGCATAAATTGCTTTCGTTTTCTAGTAACGTTTAATGCGGCCGCCTTACCCTAGCCATAGTATACGAAATATTAGCGATGTTATGGCGATATCTCGTAAAATAAGTAACCATAACTCTAGACCATGTCTATCGTATTATAGACATAGGTCTAGAGTTATGGTTAAGGTTAGAAAGTTGGACGATCGCCCTAATTATATGCTGCTTTGTGTACATAACAAGTGATATGTGTTTTTTTATATAAAATTGCAACAGTGAAATTGCCTTTGCCTCGTTGAAAAAAAGGTATATTTCGCTTAAGCTAACAATTGTCAGGTAAAGCAGCGCAAACTGTAGTCTTTCTTTCGCGCAAAATGATTTTTGTATTTATTGTTACAGATTATTTAGTCTTTTTTATTGTAAGATTTCTTGTAATAATAAACGAAATATTTCTTTTATATATTTTGAATGTATAATTTTCTAGTATTATGTTTTTTATACTGAATTCAATAAATAGAAATAGGATTCTAACCGAAATTAATAATAAAATTATCACTCCTTTTTTTACTATAAAAAGGCTTTGAATATTTATATTCGCCAATAAGCTCTAGCAAAAACAATGAATGTAAAAATGTGAATGTAATAGAATCTAAGAAAATGCATTTCATAAGCATTTCTTTTGAAATCCTCGAGAGCGATAAAATAGCTGTTAAAGACGAAAATAATACGCTCACCTCGTCGTGCCTTCGAAGTTGACCCTCACGCCGTCTTTGTACCATCTGAATGTGATGTTTGGAGAGCCGTAGGCCATACAACTCAAGATGAACTCTGATCCCTCCCATACTCCCGGCCGCTGGTTCACGACTAACGCCTGGAAACGAGAGCGTCGCCCTTTTTATCTCAGCCAATAAATCAATACAGGAATACTCCAGACTCCCTGGATCTCCTAGGATACCAATTCATTAGTTATGACGACCAATCACAGGTGGTCAAATCAGACGCGTCTCAGCGAGAGGGGAGGCAGGGATGCGCAAGGGGTCTAATTAGTGCTCAGGTGATAAATCAATAATGTGTGATGTTTATAATAATAATAATAACAACTGAATGTGTGCGCTCTCTGCAATGACTGTGGGGAACGAATGTCGAGACGATTGCTAACTACATTCAGGAGATCGTTGGTAGATGGCGTTGAACGCAATAATTTTTATATCAAAATTTCGTCACGGAACACAGTCACATTTTTTTTTAATATCTTACTTATAACAGGTGATAACGGAAACGAAATTAGGTTTTACAGTAAATAATAACAGTAGTATTTTGCGTTTTTCAATCATGAGCACATAATTTTAATGTGAAATTTCCGAATCAATTTTTTTGTGATTTTTCGGTTTAAATCATACATTTATAACACTACGTCTCTCTATAATAAAGAGTTTTGAGTTAAGAAATAACACGTTTGAATATATTTAGAGGTATATTTAGCGTTTTGAGAAATCATAAATTGACAAGTTTCTTATATAAATTTTACAACTAACACATTTAATGTAGATCTAGACTATGTATGTACACGGAATTCACTGGATAAAGTATCGGACTAATGCATCTTTACTGGCTGAATTGAAGATAAAAAGCTATATTGTCCACTGCTTATTTATTACTAAAGAGAGACGATTAATCTCGATAAAGTCCTACTGCTGGGTAAAATAAATGATGAATAGACCGCTAGGAATAAGTCCTCTACGTTAATCAAATTCGTGATACACTCAACACCAAAATTATTAAGACTATCCATATCGACGAAGATAGGGCAAGATGGCGAACAATAGTCGACGAGAGAGCTATTCAGCGAGGTCACGACCCTCAGCATTGAGGGTGAACGACGCAAGGAGGAGACTATATACGTATTGTTTTTATAAAAACAGTATTCTACTATAAAATAATTTCCTATATCTGATTTCTATAGCAAAATAATAACAAATCGAAGGCTACCAATTGATCTGGGTATAGCAGTAAAACATAGTCTTAAAATATTACTGTGCCAATAAATTCACGCATTTGTATTCTGCAGGTCTATCCTCAACGTTTAATTATACCTCATTAGTGATGGTAAGTCATGCGATCTTTGTATCATTAAGAGCGGAAGGAAGATATCCCCTTTACCTTTCTGACTTAAATACCTTAGGCCAGAAATATATCTAAAGGCGCCACCTTGTTAATGACTCTGTATGAGTAATTAATGCACGAAAAAGAAATAAATAGTGAAATGAAAAAGGTTTTAAGGAAAATTTCTTTGTGAACTAAAAAAAAGTGTTCTTATAAAAAATGAAAGATAAAGTTACCAAAGTTAAAGTTCACATTTTTTCTAAGGATTCCATATTCCTTTATGATTCGATTTGCTCGAAAAACTTCAAGAAGGATTCAAATGTCGAATGCCAACTTTTTAATGAAAACAAACTCTTTAGTAAAGGACTGGAACAAGGACTTTAGTATGGCTTCGATACCTTTGCCTTTAGTTTTACAATTAGTTTAGTTTTACAAACAAAAACAGATATTTTCACTCTTAATGAAAAATGTTTAAAAAATCCCCATAAAAAGTCCATCTCATTTGTACTTTGAGATGGGACACGAACCCATATGTATACCATTGTGAGTGCAATATTGATAAAAAATTATGTTTGGTTTTTTTTTTATCTGCTCTGGTACACACGCATTTACTAATTTATGAGTCGGCCGGCATTTCATAAAATGGTCGAATTTTATGAAATGGAAAAAATTTGCTGCCTACATCATGATGTGGCCTGGCCATATCAATGAATAATCTGCGTTTAACGATATGGATGGCTGATTGTATGAATACTTCATGATTTGGCCATTAGTTTTGTTTACATTCATTTCCGTTGGAGGCGCTGTTATCACATGGATTGGTGTATTTGTTTTTTAGTATGGTAGGTTGGTATATTTTAATTTTTATGTTATGTAACAATTGAAAGGAAGTAGGGTGACCAAGCATCGGAAATCAATGGACTACTATTGGATTTCTAAATGTCGCCGTAAGATATACTTACAGCCGAAAGCGATTTGTATTATCTTATTAGCAAAATTATTATTTGTAATGGTTCAAATTGAGTAAAAGAAGAGTAGGAGTGTATGTGCGGAAGTGCGGCGGTAAAAGCTATTATTTGGTTTTATGGATATATCGCAAAATTATAATAAAAACAGGATTTTGGTCTAGATCCCGTGGATGATAAAATTATATTGAAGGATATTAAAGTTTTTGAATATGATTTTCTACTGTAGATCACGTGATAGGTTATTTTTTCGGACCACAGAATAACATAACGTAAGCGTACAAACAAGCTATTTCCGCAAATTATTAGCTTTCTTTTTTGGACACCCTACATTCATAATATGGCCAAATGTAGATTGCCATATCATTGAAAGTTGACGTTTAAAGAATGTGATCAGTTTTAAGTGGCCGTTTTAAGAAAAACGACCATTTCATGACACGACATCCACGAGATTACTAATTTAGTTATTGTAAAATTAATATTGTCATATTGAATATTGTAGTAGCATATTGTTAAGAATTTTTATTTAACTTATAATTAAATAAACATTCTTTATTGAAATAAGTTTTTTTTGGAGATTTACTATTTTAAAAATGACTTAAAAAATGGGGTTTTCCAAATATTTGTGTATGGTTAACCCACGAATATTTACGTACAAAACTATCTTAGACGATAAGACACAGCCACAACATCGCTAGTTATAAGTGAGTTTTTGGATTTGCAACGATATGATCACCACATTCCTTTAAGAGCCCTATTTGGCCAAGATGGTCAAATAAAGGCCGTTAAGCACCAAACAAAACCTTTTAAAAATACAAACTCCCTACGCAGCCAAACTATGAAAGAGTCGCTACGAACATAATAAGTAGTTTGCTGCTGCACCGTTAATTAAGTCCAAAATTAGTAATATATTCTTGATTCCATATCAAGAACGACAAAATTGACCATAGACAAAATTGCTAAAATCTCGGTCAAATATCCATCTCCAGACAATCGTGAATGCGTCGCTAGAGACTAAAATCGCGGTCGTAAGTATCAATTGTGGTAACCCTACTTAAGAAAAAATTAAATACAAAAAATTAACTACAAACAAAATGAAAGCAGTTTCCGGTAGGAAGTTTCCTGAGTTTGATTTGTGCTTTTGCATTTTATTTGTTTTATTTTTCTAGCAAAAAAGCGGCTACATTAGAATTGCCGAAGAAATGTATAAAACCAAGAATTAATTCTTTGTAAAAGATGAAATTCTGCTTTACCGACTTCTATGTACTCGTATTATATTAGCGTTCCTAATGAAGTTAAACATTGATACGCGTATTTGGAGCATTGAAAATATGTTGTGTTATGTAGATAATGTTATGTAAATAAGAGTAGCTCGGTGGCGTAGTGGATTAGCGCCGCGGCCCGTAATCGTAGTCGTTAAGCAACTTTCGCAAGGGTCGGTCACGGGATGGGTGACCAAAAATTTTACTATCTCGAGCTACTCCGTGTTTCAGAAGGCACGTTAAGCCGTTGGTCCCGGCTGCATTTGCAGTCGTTAATACCCTCCAATCCGCATTGGGCCAGCGTGGAGGGTCATGGCCCATACTCCTTAACCATGCATAAGGAAGGCCTGAGCCCCTGCAGTGGGGACGTAAAAGGGCTGATGATGATGAAATAAAAATAATAAAATTATGAAAGAATATAAGCTGCATTTTTTTCATTTTACCGTTTACTTTATTTCCAAAACAGAATATGGAATGAAGTTCATTATAAAATTGATTTGTTGTAAAGCTATTGTAATACTGATCACTGACTTAAGATAAACTTATTTACATAATTACTTGTATCAGGAAAAATAATTAGAAATACTTTTTCTGCCTGGGCAGTTATTGCTCATTTTATAGCGCGAATATCTGACATACGTTTGTGATTTCATTTAATGTGTATTGTTTATAATGTGAGTTGAAATTAGACTCAAACTTTTTAGTTGTCAATATTTATTTTAGAGAAGATATGTTTGTAATATCTCGACTCGATAAATTTCTCTGCTGTCGTCACTTCTACTTAGTAGTTTCTTTTTTCCCGTGTTCCAAATTTATTGCAAGTTATTTCTTGGTTTATCTAATTATAAAATTATAGAACTAGTAAACAAAAATGTGGTTCGTTATAATGGCTTCATCTTACAAACATTGCGTTTCATTCAATCACAAAATTTCAAAGCGGTGTTTTGTCGAACAGGATAAGGAATTATATCACATGTACAGGAAGATCCTTTTGCTTTAACAAAACAAAAAAAAAGTTTGAGCATGAGATGAGCACGAGATGAGCAAGAGCAATAAACATTTGATAAAGTACTGTATATTTGTAAGCCTTCACCGAAGCCTTAAACTAACAAAAGATGTAAGAGACAAATGTCGCCGTCTCTTTAGAAAACGTTCTGTTGTCGGAGATGTCGATGGAAATAAATATTCCAATCAATAAGGCGTGGTTAACAAATCGCGCCATTTTTATTAAGCTTCATTCGAGGGGACGAATGATACGACACCAATTGCTTTCCAGATTGTAACCAGTTGTATTTGTCTTTTTATTAAGTAATATTAATTTTGTATCATTTTGTTTTCTATCTTAAACTTAATAATAATATTCTTTATTTCACAAATATAGGACACATTACAAAGAAAGAAAATGAGATCAGACAGTATGCAAAAAGGCGGTTTTATTGCTATGCAGCAATCTCATCCATCAAACATAGATAAATAATAATGATAATGAAGGGGAGTAGATGCAATAGCGACAGGAATTAAATAGATATACCTAAATAGAAAAATAGATAATGTATTTCATATATATTATCTATTTTTCTCTTAAAAGAGAGTTAAAAGTTGGAGAGAAAGTAGCTTTTCACTTCTGCGACGAAGGATCGCAAAGTGCGAGCCTTTCTTATAGTTTCTGGTATAGGAAGTCAGAGGAGTGAGGAGGGATATCAAGTTTGAGGTTTGAGGCTGGCCGCAGAATACACTGAGATCTGGATAAGGAGTTGGAAAAGAAAAAAGGTTTTAAGTAGGGTGGAGACATGGGCAAGAATAGAACAGAATAGAGAAGGGTTAGAGTAAGTAAGTCCCTGTGCCGGCGAATAGGGAGCCAGTTAAGTTTTGAGCGGAAATGCGACTCATGGTCATAGTTGAGAAGGTTAAAAATAAATGGAATACACATATTCTGCAGACGCTCTTATTTTTAAACATCAGTGTAGTCAATGATGGGAAGTAGGAGAGTTTGTGCAAGCTTGATTTGTTTTTGTTGGTAGGAAATTTCGAAGTCAATTAAGTGAATTGTACGCAGCAAACGCTTTTTTCTCAGTGCATTTATTAGTCAAAGGTTACCAAGGTGTTTGACTATACTCGAGTAAAGCATGATAGTGGCATCGAAAGAAACTGAAGGGAGATGACCAAAATCGATCCTCGAAACGAAATGTGGACTTCCAATTATTAAAGTCTGTGTTTTTGAAGGATTAACACCAAGACCAAAATACATATTCCAGCTACAGATAAGTGAGAGGTTATTATTAGTAACCATAACCGCAACCCAAGGTTTGAGAGCGACGCTCGAGTGTATAAGTATAGTTATTACATAGTATTTTATCTTTTTCCCTCTAACTGAAAGTCACATTGGATTGACTACGTCACATTGTAAATAAACAAAACGTTATAACTCGCTTAAGAGTGAGAGTATATAAATGTAGTCAGAGATGAGCAAATTGTAATCATGATTAATGATTACATTTAGTAACATTCACCCAGGATTGAAGATTACAATATAGTATTCCTAAATTTTGATATATTTAAGATTCTTGGCTGATTTACAATCGGTTAGATATAATACTCTTCGGTTGGTGTATTAAGCTCCTGTTTACTGCCACAAATATAGGTCAGCTTAATTTGCAGTGCCCAGTTACGGCTCGTACAATGCCAACGCTAGATATATAACTAACAAAATCCTCGGCCAGAAAGAAAGTTAAGCCTTAGGAAATTGAAAAGTCCTTCTGATAAAATCGAACATTAACCAGACACGGTATTCTCACAGAACTTGCAATAGAGTAACTGCTTCAATCAATAACGGGGTACTTTATCCTGAGGGGTGTGTAAGGAATTGCCCCATTTTTCCTGACCCGACTCGCTTGGTAAGTGTGAACTTTAATTGTTTGAAATGTGATCTCGTAACACTCGAACGTCCGCTGACTGCACAAAACGTTTCCTTTAGAAACAATTTAAAGTCACGTTCAGACGTTTTTAATAGTATGTGGGAACAATGGAAACTTTGGTTATTACATCATTATATGAAAATATTTCTGCGAACAGAAAAGCTGTAGGTTTTGTGGCTATTTAGATATAAAAGATAAAAAAACATAAACTGGCTTATTATATTTAATACCTCTGTAGTTTTACATAATGTTTATTAAACATAGTAGTGTGATTGTAATGTATATAAACCGCGTGAACTATTGAGGAACAAGTATTCTTTTTCCAAAAATACGTTGGAAGGCAGAGTCGCAAATATTCAAGATTCAGAGGGGATTTGTGGAAAACATCCACAAATCCACTCTGAATCGGCATTATTTGCGTAATCATGTAGAGCCACATTTTATTATAAACAAATCAACATTTTTTATTATCTTTAATATTTTTTATTACTAACCGGTAAGCTAAGTGCGGGTTGCATATCGAAGTGTAAAGTAGCAGGTAACAGACGCAGACGGTCTGTGCGCGAGCGTGTGGCTGCGAGACGGGCAAGGGCAGCCCGGAGAGTGCCAGCCTCGCGTCTCGCTCCCCATATGCGCAGGAGTACGGTACGCGCACCGTTCATATCTACTGAACTGAAACAATCCACTCTAAATGAGCCTCTTATTATTCAATAGGGTTGCAGTCTTTTTTAAAGGAGTTGCATTCTATTTAAACGAGTTCCATTCTATTTGAACGAGTTGTGTTCTATTCAATCAAAAGACTTGTATTCTATTCAAGATTTTTCGCATTCTATTTGAAAAAGTTTTAATAATTCTAGCAATTTGAATACGGAGAACTTTGATTTTAATATCTACGCTATTAGGATACATCCATAGGGAAGGTCTCTTTTTTGTTACACGCGAACTAAGTTCCAATTGATGTGTGCTAATGACTACTGACGTTACTGGGACAAATAGCATCATATGCTTTTCGAATAGATTCAGCTTGATATACAAAAAAGAGGCCACCCATCCTAGTAGCGTTTTCCGCTAATAACATACGTAGATAAATGCGCTTATCACTGCGCCACTGGGCTCCACAAAATTTCATACTATCATCTTGTAGAAGCAGCTACAATCTAGCTACACAAGGTACTGAGACAGATATTGATAAAGGCAATAAGGAAATATATATATACAGTTCATTTATAGCTGTTACTAAGGCCTAATTTCGTATAAAAATTCAATTGACATCCGGTTATTATTCTTGTCGTTGGCATCATTATCACTGTGTCGTATTCATACGGTTTACTGATTGGTAAACGAAAGCCTTAATTTGTATACTTTATATATACTAAGAAAATATCAAATTATACACAAATGAAGTGACACGTGGAAACTTTCACAATAATTGTATATGTAATAAAAGTTTTACTGCAGTCAAACAATCTGAAGAAGTACCTTATCTATAGACTAAAACAAATTAACATCTGTTTGATTAATAAATATCACTCAGGCCAAATTGGATTTCGCTCACCTAATGTTTAAGATTTCAATTTCATCCTCCAAAGTGATATTGGACGCTCTTAAATAGCTCGTTATCTGAAAACAATCGCAATAAAGTTTTAGTGAAGCATCCTATTAAGAGCGATTTAAAGCTTTGGTCACGCCACTGTCATTAAATTATTTAATGAGTTTGTGTAAGTTCTTTTTTAGTTCGAAGAGAATAGAATTTAGATGAGAATGTTTAGCTATTTCTTTAAATTTTATTTAAAATGTATAACTAAGGCGGCTAACAACTCTTTTTATTGTTGGGTAACCACTCTTAGCTTCGCCATATATTAATTTTGTTGTTTATTAATATTAAATAAAAAAAGTTTATCTTTGCACTGTATAAGGATTTTCTGCGAAATACAGTTTTGGATTTCAATAAAAAAAAAAAGCAATCTTAGGTATTTTAAATAACGTATGTAGGTAATTTAGAAATACATAAACAAAAAAGATTTATCAATATTGAAAATAGTGGATGTAACAATTGATATTTTTTTTTACAATCCATGTTTTCAAACACTGTATACCAAATATGTCATTTACATAACACGAGTGCAAGTAAAAAGTTTTTATCGAGTTTAACGAAAATTAAAAAGTAGGTAACACTTTAAAGATTTATCATACCTGTTTAATTATTTCCTGTGATATGTTGACGTTGGGTTGGTCCATTATTTGCAGTCTTGTCTCAAAACGTGCTGTGGCTGGACAAAAAATGTGCCTATTATTATTTTTGGGAAATGCTTACAAAAAATCATTGTATCTATCACCATCAAACACTGTTCGAAAAATTGATTCTACAACTAAACTATTTTCTAACGAGACTCACAAAAATCTGAGTCCCTTGGATTACAATCACATGTCGCGCCTTCTTTGCATCCATCCGAACACTCCGCGATGCCACATTCTGAAAATAATAGTGAAATTAATAACTTTGTTCGATTTTAAATTTATCCACACGGTTGTGTAAACCAGCAAAGGTGACTTGGTGGGAATTTGATTTTCAACTTCGGATTGTGTTAGAAAATTGGGTTTACAAGTGTCGTTTATACAGTCATTAGCAAGATCACCATTGTGGGTATGCCGTTTTCTACCAACATTTATAAATGTAATAAAAACTTATTTAATTTGAGAATTTAGGGTATGTCGAGGTTTTTAACAATTTGTGTTGTTATATCTAGTGAGAGAAGTCGTTCCTTACTCTATGTAGCGATAAAGGTTGACTTAAATGTCTCTTTGTATGCTGCTGAATAGTTAATGTTTTTTGCATCATACAACTGCATATTAAATGAGTTATAGTCAAATAAATTATTAAATCAAAGTAAAACACGGCACACTAATTGGTTATTTGTAAAACATATTGATTTGATAATAACATGGTGTATGTAAATGTTATTACTGCTGTTAAGAGATGCAGCGCTGTTCTGTAAAGTCACAGTAGCATCAGAGTCAACTTTTGCACTGTCAAAGAATAGAGTTTCAATTAAATAAAACTAATTACAATAGATAATGAAGATTTCCTCTCGTTTTTAAAGTTCCGTAATATACAAGGAACCTTAAAGTCTGTTCGTCCGCGGTTTAGCTCAAAAATTAACAAACAACAAAAACAACAAACGTGTTTTTTTTACATTTTTCAATAGATATTGGTACGGAACTCTTCGTGCGCGAGTCTGACTCGTGTTTGTCCGGTTTTTTTCAATTTTGTCTAGAACGTTCCCCTTGTTCATCATTCAAACTTCCTCAATTTTTCAGGAGAAAAACTGAGATGCGAGTAAAAGAAATTTATCTTTAGCTATCATTCTAACACAAATCTGTTAAATTGTTTTCAATAAATCAATCTCAATTAATAAATGGTGGACTGTTTCCTCTGAGAGATAACTCGTCAGAATCACTAAAGATTGAATGAACTTGAACATTGTTTTCATTAGTTTTTTTTTCTTGGATATTTAGTCTCAAATTAGCGATACAATTGAACATATTTTCTATTCAAAATTATGATCCGATTCAAAACATGATATTAATCGTTTAAGGCGAATGTACACATAATGTACATAAAACTGATTTCACCACGTAGAGTAATTGAAAACATATAAGACAGTAAAAAAAGTTTATCACATTTTTACAGTCATATCCTTTAAAGGCTTAAGGGAAAAACGCTAATGATTTGTTGCCTTTACATTTACCATCTTTTTCTAATTTAATGGTATTTTTAATTTAATAAATGATATAGTCTACGCTTTGCTGTCGATAACAATGTTAATACAATGTAAATTTCGTGGTAGGTATACAAATAAAATTGTAGGTAAACTTGTATCATTGTTCAAGTTTTTTTTATACTAGTTAATGTTAAAATTATGTATTGAATTAAGATTTTTTCTTGAGGTAAATTTCTACATAAACGTTTTACTAATCGATTCTGCAATCGATTCTACGAATTTACATTAATATTTCGCAGTTTTAAGTGAAATAAAATGGATGCTATAACATAAAATGGTATCTAATGATGGTCTTTGTTGAGTAGAATACAATCGGCAAATAGACTGACAGATAATTCATGTTTCTGATCATACATAACATAACGCTTACATAAGTTTGTTTAAAGACATGTTATAATGATTTCATAGAGGCATACCCTTTCTCAATAAATATGTTATAAAAACAAATTTTACTTTTGAATAAAAAAGTACGTCATAGTACCGAGTATCTTATTTCATAACACTGTTCAATTTAGTAAGAAGTTTGCCTTTCTAAAAGTAACACCGAATATCGGTACGAAGTGAGCGACAAAAGAAAATTTACATAGCATCAAATTTTAGATTGAGTTATAAAACAAGCCTTTATTCGAATTCCAAGTTAAAAATGGAGCTTCTTTGAATGCACTTGTTAACAAGATGGCGTTTCACGTCAAAGAGCCGTCACGCCCGCCTCTCCGTTGGGAAACGGCTCGATTCTCATAAAAAGACTGCTCGAACTCCTCAACGACGACCATTATTCTTCACCATTATCCTGACCATTTCCCAATTATGCCCCCTTACCGTCCTTTCGTAGAGTATTAATAAGGATTTTGGATGCAAAGAGGCCGGTCCGTTTAAGATGGCGGAGCTCAAATGATCGAGACTAAACGAGCCGTGAACTGCGTCTACGGGACGTATTGAGTTTCTAACTTTTTTCTTTAAAAGTTTCCTTGACCTTGTCCTTTCTTCTTCCTTCCTAGAAATATCTTAGTTGTTCTAGTTTATAGCGTTGAAAGAGTTTATTAGGGTGTCCGAAATGCAATAACAATACAGGTTTTAATTTTTTCTTAATATTTTATCATAATACGTTAACACAAACGACAGTTTTAGCGAGAAACTAAAAATAAGAAATATTAATAACAAAAATCTAATTACAAATGCTGTTGTTTGCACAAATAAAGCGACTCTGCACTCAATTTTCATACTTTACATATGCAATGTTGTAGATTTACGTGCAAAATGTTGGAGATTTACATGATACACAAACTACGTGCATTAACATGACAAAGCGGGACGCATCTTATTCTCTAAGCAACCGTCCGTGTTCCAGTGATTCTAGTTTGCAGCGTTTTATTTTAAAACCTGTTGCTTTTAGTGTAGCTATACAAAGTGTTTAGCTGTTTGTTTTGGTATTTAGCATACTACTCCGAGAAACAACTTCAGTGTATTATTTAAGTCTATAATTATTGATATTTGCATAGCAAATCAGACAGATTTAATTCAGGTACAATAACGTGCCAGTATTTAGTCATAGTTATAGAAAATCAAACAAAAATAGTCACAGATAAAATTCTCTTCTGCGAGTTAAATCTTTTTATTAAGTTTTAATATAGATTTTTTTAAGTGTTTATTTTTGCGTAATTTTTATGACATTTTTCATAAAGCTAATTATTAGTTTTCACGAAATCCAATTTTACATTAAGTTTTAATAAGAAGTTTCTTTTGTGTAAATGTAAGCGTCTTAACTAATCGCCAGATTAACCTTGGCAAATAAGACATTTATTTTACTACAAAGTCGCCATTAGCAAAATTCAACTTGCAGTGTGCAGTTCAAATGCTGTAAATGTCTTATCAGAGCCTTAAGAGCGTGTATACGACAGGTAAAGTAATGCTTATACATAAATGAAATAGTAAAAAGCACTCACATCAGATTACTGCTTAATATCACAGTGCAATAAATATAAAATTCTACTTCAAACGCATTAAGTTACAAAGCAACCAGAGAAAGTTTTAAAACGTTTGATCGTGTACGTATTTTACACTATAATAATGACGCTATAAATTACCCTAAGTGATTAAATTTAATTATTGACTACGTGCAATACTATGCTTCTTTTTTTATGCCAAATAATTGTATGAGCAAGATGTAATTTTTGGTTCCCTCTCTTCTTAACATTTAATGTGAGTTCTAGTATTACGGTCAGTTGCACAAATGTCCATTTTAATGACGCCTTTAAGCTCTAATGGATGTCAAATATGTACGGGTAATGTCGCTTTAAGCTAATGAAAACTTTCATGGGCGTTTGTGCAACTGGCTGTTATTCACTTATTAAATCGACTGTATGTAGTTAGGCATACTTTATTTTGAAAAATAAAGTAATTGGGCATTTCATTGAAGACGTTACTACCCCGCTAACAGCTAAAGCTGATGCACGTTCACCACCGAACAATTTTCTAGCACACACGAGGATTCACTCTATCAGAAAATTTGTATAATTTGATGTGTATTCAGAAATTTGAGATCTGGTTAATCATAAATAATTGATAAATTACCTGGTTCTGCTATCTGCGACTCGCAGAGATCTCCAGTGTACCCCGGCGCGCAGATGCAGCTAACCGCAGCGGGACCCATTTGTCTGTTGTCAAGATTTAAACAAGTAACGTATTAAAATATTATATCTAATCATAAGCAGAAGATCACTCGGCCTATGTAGGGGAAGCTTTTATAATTCGTATTTTTGGTTTACCACCTCCATGAAGGCACATAAACACGGACATTCTTTTGTCTCATCGTTCTTATATTTTTGTTCGATCTCTTCATTGGAAAAAATAATGAAAGTATAGCAAGATGATACATATTTACACTACGTATTTAATAAAACAATAGTGACCAAACATTTTCATTTATCGTAGGATAGACCTTGCGAAAGTTGCTTAAATTTCATATCGCAGACAGAGCGTATACCCCGTCGCCATCGAGCTCCTCATTTTATATTAGATTGCATTTATGCAATCTGGTGTCCATAGTTTAATGTTAATGTCAACCCAACTAAAAGGTTTTCAGAGGATCAAAGAGACATCTCTTCCATTCTTGTTTCCTTTGTTAGTAGTGCTAACCAGATACGCGTTAGCCAGATTACACCCTAATTTTACACAAATCTCGTTAGTTATTCATACAGCCAAAAATCCTCATTCATGATTCATTGTTTAAAGGTTTCATTTCACAACAGAGTATATTACCCCTTTGTTTGTTTAGCCAGTATCAATTTTTTAACGACGTGTACACATTCAGCTGTTTTATTTATTTACCGGGAATTATACGTGATAAATCACCAAGGACTGGCCCCGTTACCCAAATCGATAATAGTATAGCTTTTGACCCTTATTTTTTATCTTTTTGTATGCGAATAAAAGAGCTGGTGAAAGGTCAAGAGAGGTGTTATTTAAATTCCATCAGGTTTACAAGTAACTTTTTTTTGCGTGGAGAATTGACCTATTGAGATAACGTACCTACATTATTTTTCGTGTTACCGATTTTGTGAAGCACTATAATGAAAAGCCCAATTTTTTTTTATAAACACAGAATTGACTCAATTACATAAAAGGAAATCTCTTAAAGAAAAGAAATAGTAGATATGGAAAATCTACAGAGTAAAAAAATTAACTTATTAAAGGATTTCTTCTTCCTACAGACAAAGACTATGCAATAGAGCGAACGAACGCTGCCGGTCCGTGTGAGTTGTTATAAAGTTCGAAAGCGTTTATGGGCCATACGAAACTATCGCAGGGAGAAAATTAAATAACGTAACGCAGGAAGCGGTCCAAGTTGTTTTGAACTAATTCAATGTGCAACCCACTTCTATGATTGCATTAACTTGGCAAACGATATGGAATTTGAAATAAGTACAAATGCACAGCTTCTTATTTGATCTACCTATTTTGATGCTGATAAGAATTTCAAATTTCCGAAGGAACAATGGTCTTTGCTCTTATTACTTAGATTAGATATTGTTATAGGTATCGGTTAGTTTTAAAAACAAAATTTAAAGGAGTGAAGTATTATGTTGAAATGAGACAGACATTCACATCTATAAAATAAGAGGTAAATTAAAAGTTATTATAACCTTGAAAATGTTAAGACTGGAAAATAACATTAAGCTCGTGTGAGCAAATTAAAACGCCAAGAGTTTGCTGTGTCAGCAATCTGAGGCTCAAGTTAAATAAGACAGAACAGCTCTACAGCTACGCCCATTAACTTACTCTAACGAGCTAAAGTTGCTTAGCAAATATTGGGTGGGTTCCGTTATGATCTATCTGAAGTTTATTACTTAAATTGATCTTACTTGACAAGTTACTGAAATAGTACGAATTACTTTCATTCAGTTTATAGAATACCTGCAAATGCCTCCATTTTTGCACATGTTGGATGTCCGCGGGCACAGCGGGCCTACGCCGCAATCCTGTCCGGAGTAACCTTCGAAGCAGGAACAGTAAAACTCCCTGCGATGCGGAAAATATTGTTGGTTAAGTAATAAATTTCACCAATATACTCTCGCGGAAACAGCCGCCGTGACACTGTATGTGCACGCCGGCTTTTTGGCGCGGAATTTGTAAAAAGTGAATGATGACAGTAGGTTGGTAGGAGTATATTTGGGGCGCTATTGGCGAAGCTTGTCATCGACTCTATCGCGTCCACTTTATTCTGCTTTTCCACTAAATTTTTGCGCTCTATTGACATCGTTAATGGGTTTTCAAGAGATATTTTTCGTTGATAAATCCGATCCATTAAATACAAAATGTTTGGGATATTGTTGGAGGCTGAAAATTTCTCATTGAAAGTTCGTTTTGTCGATTGATGCGTTTTAAACAAAATTTGCAGCATTGAATTACCGACGAATTGAATTTTGATTTCGAACGTTACTCTCGAAATTTGTGTGTTCGATTTATCGTATTGTGTGACGTGCTTCAATTTGGAAATAAATTTCACTATTATTTTAAAGATTCATTCACTTATATTTGAATGGTTAGGATTGTTTGTGTTAATATATATTCAAGATTGAATTAATAGTTTGTGTTTAGTTTGATTTAGCGTTCTATTATTGTAAGGGAAATTATTTTATCAAACATATAGTTACATTATAGAGCATGAGCATGTATAGGTGTGGCATGGAATGCGAATGTTCCCACGGTATTAGCATTCGTTAACATAGACAGATACTAAATGTATTTAATTATGTAAGCCTTGTGTTATATTTAACCAAGGAAGATAATACATAAGACATGCCGTAGCTCGTCGATATATCAGAAATATTAACTTACAGGATTACAAATTATTGCTTTCTGACTTGTACTTCTTATGGTAATTACATTAAATCAATGTTCTTGGTCAATATTACTTTAAGGTTGTTTTAATATATCTTACGTTTCTCTACACGTTTACTGCTATGTTATTCTGTAACAAAATTAGTTTTAAAATGGACGTCAACTTTGAGTCCGTTTTAATATACGGCAGATCTTTTGTTTCTACATATGTAAATATGTTTAATATTTTTTACTCGATTGCAAAAGAAGAGTTATGTGTTTGGCGTATTTTGTATATGTATGTAATATTCTTTATTAACTCATATCTTCAGAACCGATGAACGATTTTGATAATTGGGGTATCATTAGGTTAGTTTTTAGAAGCCCAAGTGTTCGTTAAAAAAAAACATTATGGCGGCGCCATTATATTTAATAATAAACTTTTTTTTATGTACTACAATATCAATTAAAAAGGGCTCAATACAAGGATTCTGATTAAAAATAATACAATAGAAAAGTTTTAAAAATATGTAGGTAATTTGTTCCGTCACTTTCTGAACCAACCTGGTAATTTATAAAAAAATAATAAAAATACATAAATAAATTATAATTAAAAATAACAAAAACCCGCCTGCGTGAAAAAACTTACTGAAAACGCTATTAAGATAAAAAAAAATATGCATTATCATACATAACACAACATGCCTCCGGCATGCACAAAGAGAGAATGATTTGACTTATTCAGTTTTATAATTCGAGCGGGACTTTTGTTTTTATTTTTTGTTATATTAAAGACTTAATTATTGAAGAATGCTCACTTGTAATCTTGTTGCGCGTAGCAGTGTCCGAGGAGTCTGCATTCAATGGCACTACAGGAGGTTGGTCCAGGGTCCGTGCTGGGCGCTCTCACGGCGTATGTCATGTTGAAGCCGAACACAGACAACAGCCCTAAGGCCCTAAGCTGGGTACCTTCGAGTCTGTTGAGGGTCAACTCCACTACCAATACTGGACTTTGCACCTGTGAACAAATAAATCAATATTAGACAACGCATATACTGTATGTTAGGTTCATAGCAGGAACTCTAAAGTCAAAATTATACCTCAATGCAAAAACTTTCAGTTCACTGTTCGTGTTTGCTTGTCATATTTGACATGTGTAGTAAGTATACTTGACATTGGTTTCTAATAAAAAATGCTTAAAAATCCACTTTGTCCCTAGCACTCTGAGATGGGACTCGAAACCATGACTTTTTGCAAACCGGGACTCGAAACAAACATGGCGAAACTAGCAGTGAACCAGCCCCGTCTTGCCGGTTCTTCTCAGTACTAGGTCTTCCACCATAGATTTGCGAAACTATGGAATAACTTTCACAAGTGCAATTTGAATTTGATTGAGTAGCTCGGTGACGTAGTAGATAACTACCACGGCTCGGATAAGCAGGTGGCAGTTCAAAATGCTTTCACTCAGTTTGGCGAATCTTAATCCCGTATTATGACTAATGAAAACGCTCACAACGTGTTGTAGCAGTGCCACAATGACCGCATAGCGAAACTGTGTCATGGCTGACATGATATTCAACTTCAACGCGTTGTTGCAATGAAGAAAAGCCGTGAAGCGTTTGCAATCATACCACCCAGGTAACTGGGTAAATCAGCTGTTCAATTGGGTGGCTAATCATTTCATTGAATGGCGCCATTCAATTGCACGCCTAAGCGCATAAGGCCGCCGATTGTACCGATTGTCTACTATATGCTACATTTTAGAAAAATAAAAGAGTTTTATAATCAGAAATTTCATACTGATTGTAAGCCTTTCATATTAATAGGTATGTAAGTGACTTTGTGCCCGAGTCACCCGTCAGACGAGTGGTTTAACAAAAGTTATTTAGTCAACTTTTATACGTAATTAAGTTCCTTTAGACACAATTAAGTAGATATTATACCAGATAAATAAAATACTCGTGTAATTATAACATCAAATAACTAACACAGCAGTCTGAATTACATAAACTTGCGTCTGTACGATATCCACGTTACACTACCACAGGAGTTAATTATTGTATGTTAATTAAATCATTCTCCGCTGTACATTTGAAATTCAAGAGACCAATTTGCATCGCAGTCATCACCGCACACAACACACTTGGATTTCTTTATGGCACTATTTTTACCAGCAACGCCGTAAATTGATTATAAGTACTATCATTACCCCGTATAAATAAATGAGACACTTCGAAGATAAGGTAAAGTGGATTTGAATATAAAATACAGGAATATAAAAATGTACCAAACTTTTTTCTTTTTCAGTAAGTAGAACCGACTTCAATCTTTAAGAAAGTGATCAATAATACTTATCTCGAAAGCGACTTATTCAAGATAATTCTATTGAAGTCAGCCGGAGGTTTGTGCTTGAAAAACTCGTTCCTGTTGGGTCTCAGTTAGCTCAGTGGTTTAAGTAGTCACCCGGATAGCGAAAGGTCGTATGTTCGAGTTACATGAGGGGGTACCTGGGACTGGTGATTTAAACTTTATTTATTTCAAATAATGAATGAATACTTATAATGTACACCATAATTAAATTATAAGATAATCGGTACAATTAGCGGCCTTATGCGCTTAGGCGTGCAATTGAATGGCGCCATTCAATTAAATGATTAGCCACCCAATTGAACAGCTGATTTACCCAGTTACCTGGGTGGTATGGTTGCAAACGCTTCACGGCTTTTCTTCATTGCAACAACGCAATTTCTAAAAATATATTATTATTATTATATTATTATTTATGTATAACACTAAAATGACCAAGTCTATTTAGATGTAATTCTAAGACACACACACAGACATTACGATAAAAGATATAATTTTTCCCTTTATAAATATTTACACTCGTATCTATAGTCGAGAGAAGTAATTCAATAAAATGTCATAACTTAAGTAGATATTATTAACCAGTAGTTATTCCTTGTCTCATCTATAATTTACAAATACAAAGAAAATTACAGCTACAATAAAGAAATAAAATAAATATTTTGTACAAATGAACCGAAGAGAATACATAGATTTCATTAGGTGAAACAAAAAGTTCCGCACTTCTGTTATTTCTGCGATCATCAGAAAGAATTCGCAACAATATTTCGTTTAAGGAGGTTGATATTTTGTCGAGACGTCATGATTTCAGTATGTTACAGAGTAGGTAATTATGTATCAAAGAAGATTGTATACGACTCGTAAATTGGCCTATTTTCTTTTAAATTTTCATGTCGCTTGCAACAGCGCTAAAATACCTCGGAAACTCATAAAATATAAGCAATCCCGTTTTTAGTATAGCAAGATCAAAATAATATACCTTTAAGATGTTTTTTGTACTCAAAATCTTGTGATTTCTGCTGAATATTTATTTATTTTTCGACATTGATTTTTGAATGTTGTGGATGTGGGGATAGATGGACGGACTGACGGAATCGCGAGTGATAGATACTATTTAACTTTTTTTACTTATTATGTACTAGAGAAGTTTTCGTTAGTGGCATATAAAGTAGTCTATATTTTTATCTAGGTTTATATTTGTTCTCGAATTCGAATTAAATCAAAATCCACCCACTAGTTTTAGCGCGATGGAGTTACAAACATCCGAATCTAGATAATTTCGAATCTAGATAATGTTAAGTGAAATGGAACTCTAAAAAATAGCCACAAATCTAGTCGTATAAAGACAAGATGTCAAAGATATCGTGTAGGTCGTTCATTATTTATGAAGTTATCATTTGCTCCCGGAATAGGTACCGTGTCCGAGCAAAAATTACGCTCGGAGGAGTAAATGGAATTTGGCATATCTCCAGTCGGAGGCATTATCTTTGTTCCTTTCAATTCACGGATGTAGAAAATGTCTTTATGACGGGTCGTCTATGAAATAAAAAAAAATAAGTTACTGTAAGTGGATGTCGAGGGCGATGCGGAGTTTCCAGTCTCTATCTTATTTTTATGAATTTTTGGTATATTAATTTATTACTATGTTCTCTGGCTGACTAAGAAGCCAACGTTCATCCGCATATGATGTAGCTTTCCGTAGGTGACAGAATTTTGAAAGCACTACCGAAGTTAATATAGAAGAGCTGGTAAGTTTCTTTTACTTGTTATTTTTGTTAGCTAAAAGTCCTAAACGTAGGGAATAAAATTTGGACGCATCAAAAGTGCTTGTAATGCTTAGGTATTAGAATAAAGGAAAAGTGCTTGTAACAGGTATTTACTTAGGTATTTGAATAAAGGATTTATCATTTTTATTTTAATTATCAAGGATGTTACGTGCGACCTCGGATTGAATGCAATGCACTCAAAGTTTAGTACAGTATTGGCCGTTGGGTGCATTTTGATGTCAACCAAATCCAAGTCGATAGAGATGTGCGGTAAGCCAGCTGGTCCATATGAATATTCATTTTCGCTGCATATCCACGAATGTCACGGTGATATTAGTATTTCCAACGTAAGCCGAGCGTTCCGTAGCTATTGGGTCACAAACGTGCAACTTGCGACTCGAGATAACCAGTCAGCAGTTAGCAGGTAACTCGATGAGTATTAATTGTCGATTAGTAAATTTATAACAGACTAGGATTATCAAGAATATAATAACTGGTTTGTTCAGATACATCAAAACCCAGAGTAAATTATTAATAGCCCAATATGATAAGCTTAACATCGAAGTGGAAAGGCAAGGCGATCGTAAGACAAACATTTCAAAATAAAATCGACAACGGATTATAAGGAAGATAATGTTATGAGAGCGCATATGGAAAGATTTTAAAGTCATTATTGAAATAATAGATCACGTTTGCAATCCGGGCGGCTGCTCTAAACAATTATGTTACTCGAGATCTGAGTCATGAATAAGACCTTTTTATCGAGCATTGTTTATGACATGACTAGTTGTTTTCGCGTGACTTCGCCCGCGTAAATTCTCTTTCTTTCTTTTATAATCGATTCAGTAGTTTTAGAGCCTAATCTATGCAAACAATCAAATCTTTACTCTTTATAATATTAGTATAGGTAAGTTTGTAATCGGCAGCGATTATATAGAACTTGGCTTCGAATACTTGCACGAAATTCAGGTAGCATGTTGAAATGTAATGATACTTCGATAAAGATGGTACTGCAAATATATATACTTTGAGTTTTGCTTTCACACGGCCACAGAATGTTATTGACATGATATCCGAGACTTATTTCAGAGTCGACTCACGGAAAATTTTCAAGAAATATTTATTCTTCACCACACTTTATTCGGACAGGATTAAAAATAGCATGCAAAATAGTCATAATCCAAAGGAATAGTTCAATTTAACATTTTAAGAGTTTTCTAGAACACTCTAAATCTTCAGTTTATAACAAAAAAAAAAAAAAATTTTAGTCTAAATAAAATGTTAACTTTAAATAATTATGCAGTCTAAAGCGCCCTGGGCGCTATACTCATATGATTGCAGGTATATCAAAGTTTTATATGTTTGGGTGAAAAAGACAAATCATTGTATAACTATACAACGCTTATACATTACTTATTCTTAAGACCTTAAGATAGTATGATATTCAACCTTACACATTTGACGGATGAACCGTCAGTCCGTCATGAGTAACAAGTTCCGTAAACACGCTCGAAGGATCTTCAGATTTGCACCGTTATTTGTCGTGTACATATTATTTTAGTTCTCCCTATAATTTGTCTGAGTAAAATACGTATTCTCATCTTAATACCTATTAAGAATAGTATAAACTTCACTGACATCTACATGAAGCATAGAGAATACATGAACACATAACAAACTTTCGAAAATTCTCCGGAATAAGGACATAACAAATTATAATATCTGCAAACAGTTTGAAGTATTGTGGCCAGGTACGCGTTTTGAAATGTAGCTTAATTTATTTCGCCTG